GCTCCAAAAGGTTCACATTCCCCACTATGCCTGCTATAATAAAGGAAGTGGCACCATTGTCCTTTCTGGCATGTGGATCAGCACCCTGCTCCAGCAGAAAGCTAACGATCTCCTCCTGATCAGCCTGTACAGCACTGTGCAGAGGTGTCCAACCACCTTCTACCTTGGAATTGACATTTGCACCTTCCTCCAACAGCTGCCGGACTGTCTTTACTGAACCTTTTTTGATAGCCTCATCTAACTGAGACGCTGTGGCTGCTGCTGTTCCATTTCTGCAGCCGTTTGGTGCCGCTGGCTGGCTGTTGCCTGTGGCCTCCATGAAGGATAAATCAGTGGCTGTGCCCTTTGCTCCTCTTTGTCCCTTTCATGAGCAGTTTTTAGAACAAAATTTATTTCCCATACAATCGAACTGGGAAGAAGGACGTGGATGCTACATCTGCCTTTGATGAGAGCTGCACACAACGCTTCACTGTGCAGTCCTGAAGATTCCCTCAGGAGTTTTTTTCAGCTATTTCATCTGGTTAACAGAAAAAGTAGCATCTCCTGTTAACTTAATCCCGGAGTTTACAGTTACAATAAGTGTTCTTTACAGCCATCCCCACTCTACTCCCCTCCCCTGTACTCAAGACTTATAATTATAATGAATTCATGGGAACGGAGCGGAACTCATGTTTTCTAATCTAAGGGACTAAGATGAATACTATTAAACTCATTTTCTTAATCCTGGATTAGTGCCCAAATCCCAAGAGGTGAAAACCTACTGTGCAATAAATGCTGTATTATGTAACCCCCTAAATGGATAGATCAATACATTCAGAGGGAGCGTGGAGTTGTCCCTTGCTTTCGAGTGGGGAGGGAGGCCACTCCACCTCACTACAGGAAGACAACAAGTTTATAGGGGAAACTCCGGACCTCTGGGCAGGGCAGAGCCACAGCCAGTCTTTAGCCTGCAATCGCCTGGCTGGGGCTGACAGCAAGGAACAGTCTGGGGCGGGAGGAGGAGCTCTGGCCCTCTGGGTGGGGCAGAGCCACAAACAGTCCTTAGCCCAGCACCTCCTGGCCCAGGCAGACAGGAATTAACAGTCTACGAAGGAGCTCTGGGCAGCTGGGTGGCTAAATTCTCTGTAAACTGCACAGCCGCGCAGCAGCCTATTTAGCACCGTGCAGGTACTCAGGGAACCCAGCCCTGGCCCAGACCTGCAGCGGCCGGGACACCATTCCCCTGGCCCCAACTCAGCCCTGGACCTGCCACACACCCCAATCCCCTATCCCAGCCCTGAGCCCCTCATCCCTGGCCCCTCCCCAGAGCTCGCACCCCCAGCCGGAGCCCTCACACTCCTGCACCCCAACCCTCTGTCCCAGCCCTGAGCCCCCTCCCACACTCCGAACCCCTCGGCCCCACCCCCACCACATGAATTTTGTTATGTGCACCAATATAGAGGTGACATGTCACACATCACCTCCATATTGGTGCACATAAGAAAATTCATTCCACACTAGTGTGGAAAAAAATTAGAGGGAACACTGCTGAGTGGGGCAGAGCAGGGAGCATGCTTGTGCCTAACCCTCTTGGCTAAGGCAGCCAGCAAACAGTCTCTCAGGCAGGGGTAGTCAGTAGTCGGACCACAGTCCAAATCTGGACAGCCAGATGCTTTTCAGTGGACACCGGGGCAGAGGTGACGTGTGGGCAGGACACACAGGGTCATATGTCCTCCCCCGCTCACATTTCTCCAGACGCCTCTGGCAGCCGTGCTCTCAGTGTGTCACTGCAGCCTGGGGAGGGAGCAGGGTGGCTGGCTGAGCTCCTCCCCCCCATGGAGCTGCTTCCTCTTCTCTGCAGCTGGAGTCCCAGCGCTGCTGTCTACTTCGCAGAACATCCAGACCAGCGTGCGTGGGGGGGGGGGGGGAGGGGGCACTCAGGCACAGAGATTGGAGCGGGGACAAGGCACGGGGCAACCCCTCAGCAGGAGAGGGGGTGGAACAGGGCATGGACCAACCCCATGCGCAGTGTCCCCTTTTTCCTTTTGGAAATATAGTCACACTGCGCTGAGGATGGGGGGCACATGACCTTCCAGAACCTTTCATCTGTGCCCCCCCCACCCCACTAGCCACAGCTACATGCTGCCTCTGCATGCAGGCTGAAGCTGAACTGGGGCTGGAGCCATGCGAATCCATGCTTGTGTTCTGAGTGGTCCCTGGTGTCGACCCATCCCACCCCAGTCTCGTGCCCCCCCACCCAGGAGCAGTTCCTGGAGCCTGCCCACCCACCCTGATCTCACACCCCTGAGCCAGCCCTGCCATAGGTGCCAACTCTGTGGGTGCTCCGGGGCTGAAGCACCCACGGGGAAAAAATGGTGGGGGCTGAGCACCCACCAGTAGCCTCCCTATCAGCACCTCCCCCTCCCCCAGCGCCTTCTGCCCACCAGTGGGTGCCTCGCCCTCCTTCCCAGCGCCTCCTGCGATCAGCTGTTCCGCAGCATACAGGAGGCTCTGGGAGGGAGGGGGAGGAGCAAGGATGCAGCAAACTAGGGGGAGGGGGAGGAACTGGATGGGAAGAGGTGGGGTGGGGGTGGAGCAGGGATGGGGGCAGGAAGAGGCAGGGTGGGGCCTTAGGGAAAGGGGTGGAGTGGGGGCAGGGCCTGAGGCAGATCCAAGGGTCAAGCACTGCCCAGCACTTTGGGAAGTCGGCACCTGTGGTCCCCACAGCACCCCCACCCTGGCCTCATGTGCTCTTCAGCCCACGCACCCAGCCCCAACTGGCCTCTTTCCCTCCACAGTCCGCCTCCAGTCACCTGCTTCTGCCACATCCTGGCCTCCTGCCATCTCCCCAGGGCTGCTATCTGGAGTCTCCTTGGTCCCTCCCACTACCCAGAGCCTCCTTCCTGCCCCTCTGCTATCCCAGCCCCGAAAGGGGCATCGCACTGCTGGCTGGATCATAATCCAACAGCTTCACCTCCTAGCTACGAGCTCAAAGGTACTCACGCATTCACACCCTGCTTTGCTGCCCAGGTCCTTGCCCATACCCATTCCTCCATCCTCATTCTCCCCACCGCATCTCTGCTACTTGGCTCAATTGGGAGCACGGAGGAACACTGCAAGAGGGGCAAAGGGTAAGCAGCAACATCAGATGACTCCGGCCCCAGCCCCTTGCGTCCCATTTTCAGTTGAGGGAAATAAGGTCACCTAACTCTCCAGGCAGAGCAGACGGGAAGCTGGCAAACAATCGGGGAGCTTGTGGGGTTAACGGGACAGACCACAAGCAACACACAGGCCCAGGGGTGGCGTTGGCAGCAGGGGGTTCCACCGGGTCCCAGCCCAGGGGGTTAAAAGTGGTGGATGGGTGTGCCACTGGGTCAGTGGGGGTCTACCCACAACACGCTGACTCACTCTCTGGCAGCAGAACCGGATTGGAGTCTGGTCCCCCGGGCTACTTCCTACCACAGTCTGTGGCAGAAGTCTGGGTGTAGGGCCCCGTGGTCCAAACATCCTTGTCTCCTCGGGGTACTTGCCCACTGGCAGCTCCTTGGGGCCCTTGTCTGCCTCCCCTAACTGCAAGGCATTGGTCCACTCAGGGGCTGGGCTGGGATCTTGCAAAAGCTCCCTAGAAGCCACATCCTCTCCCTCCCATGACTCAGCAGCAACTGAGCTCCAGGGCTCTCCTTTTCTTGGCTCTCCTGCAGAGTGTTGCAAATATAGGAGTACACTGAACAGCAATGACTTTTGACATTACTGTAGGGCATGGGGAGACCTCCCCTTTGAAACCTTTGCCCGAGGAGCCCTACCTCTGCAACCCTATCCCTATCTAGAGGGCCCTACCCTTTGGAACCCTAGCACTAGCCTAGGGAGCCCTCCCCTCAGGAACCCGATCCTATCCTGAGAAGCCCTAAAATATGGGACCCTGACCTACCAGGGGCAGTGAGTTATATGGGCCCATGGTGCCTGTGCTCCAGCAATATTCAGAGCACAGGGACCCAGCTCCACCAATGTTCAGGGCAGGGTCTGTCCCCCAGCCCCGCCCTGCGTCCCCCGAGCGTCCCTACCTGTGGCGTAGGCAGCCTATGGCTGCCCCCTGCAGGTCCCCTGCGCACTGCCCTGCCGGCTCCCAGCATCAACTGCTGCCGCAGGGTCCTAGTGCCCCCCAAACACTAGTGCCAGGGCAGGCTGACCCAACCTGACCCTGACCCTGCCCTTCCGCCTCGGACAGACGGACTCTTCCCTTTTCCAGCGGGACCCTCCACCAGCAGTCACCGCTCCTGCCCCATGCTGGGCAAGGGGCAGCCCCATCCCCCACCCCCAGCAAGGCTACAATGAGGGGCAGCAGCAAGGAAGAAGGCGCACACATGATGGCAGTTCCACCCCACCCCACCCCATCAAAAGGGAGGCAAGGGGGCTTCCTGGGCCTGAGAGGGGCCCTAGGACTAAGTGCAGTGACAGTGGTGCAAGGTGCGTGTGCTGCTGGGGGGGCCCCTCCCCCAGAGCTTGCTGCTGCCAGTAGGGGGGGCTGGGGAAAGTCCTCTTCTCTGGCCCCAGCCGGGGGCAGCCTGCCTCCACCCCAAAACTCCTCAGCCTCAGCCCCACCCCACCACAGAGCCCATACCCCCAGCCAAAGCCCTCACCCCTCCCTCTCCCCAACCCTCTGCTCCAGCCCTGAGCCCCCCCCTTGAACCCCTCATCCCAACTCACCCCAACCCACCTGAGCCCCCATCACCATGAACCCCTCATCCCCAGACCCAGCCCACACCCCAACCCTCTGCCTGAGCCCTTCCCACATCCAGGGGTGAAAGTAAAATACAGCTCTTACCAGTACCGGTCCCACTCTTCCCCCTCCCCCGGAAGGGGCGGGGCCAGGGGTGGAAGTAAGTTACATTTCTTACAGGTACAGTCCAAACACAAGCAACCCACCTCCCCTAAATGCTTCATGGATCCCTCCCATTGCATGACTTAGCTATAGAAAATAAAGCTACTATTACTACTACCAAAAAGAAAAGGAGTACTTGTGGCACCTTGGAGACTAACCAATTTATTTGAGCATAAGCTTTCATGAGCTACAGCTCACTTCATCGGATGCATACTGTGGAAAATACAGAAGATGTTTGTTTTTATACACACAAATCATGAAAAAATGGGTGTTTATCACTACAAAAGGTTTTCTCTCCCCCAACCCCACTCTCCTGCTGGTAATAGCTTACGTAAAGTGATCACTCTCCTTACAATGTGTATGATAATCAAGGCCATTTCCAGCACAAATCCAGGTTTTCTCCCCCCCCACACCCCTCCCCAAACAAACCCACTTTTCTGTTGGTAATAGCTTATCTAAAGTGATCACTCTCCTTACAATGTGTATGTCTACTACCAGTACTGTCTGGAATAAAACTTTACTATTGCAATAAGCCTGAAAACTCTCTGTCCCATTTGTTTGTTTCCCTCTCCTCCTCCAGCCAGGCTGCCCACAGGGCTAGGCTCCCCGTTCCCCGGACCCCCGCACTCAGCAGGGGCTGCAGCAGCTCCCCTCTAGCTTGGAGCAGGGGGACTGGCTGAGGGAGAAGCCTCCCCAGGTAGCCTGCTGCCTGCATAAGAACAATTGAAATTTAGCTGTTCGCTCCAGGGGCTGAACCACCATTCAGGACTATTTCTGATTTCCTTGTTAATTTCATTCACAGTTGTTGGAGGTGGGGCCGGGGGAAGGTGAGACCAAGGCAGGGGCAGAATACAATAGGCATTTTACTGCACAGCTTAAATCCAGAGCTAATAAAAGCCAGTGGAAGGGGAAAACTCACTGTCACATTGGTTTCTTTCCTCCCTCCTCCTCCAGCCAGACTGCCCGAGAGGGCTCGGCTCCTGCCCCCTCAGCAGGGGCTGCAGCGGCTCCCCTCTAGCTTGGAGCAGGGGGACTGGCAGAGGGAGAAGCCTCCCCAGGATGCCTGCTGCCTGCATAAGAACAAGTTTAAATTTAGTTGTTCACCCCCTGGTCTGAACTGCAGAATTAGGTGCTATTTCTGGCTTCCTTGTTAATTTCACTCAAGGTTGTTGGGGGGGGGGGTACCAAAGCCTGGGCAGTTCTTTTCTGCCCCCTGGATGAGGCAAATACACAAAAAATACAATCAAAATCAGGAACCATTTCCAAGTTCAAATCTACCATTTCCTCCCCAGCAGAGGATCATGGTTGTGATGTCCAAACTGCTTGCAGATCCTCTTTGAAATGTTACTGTTTAAAAAAAAAAAAAAAAAACATGGAGAACATGGTGGGAAGATGTGTTCTGATGATCAGGGTTTATTTTGGGCAAAGCAATTTTGGTAAAACAACTAAAGATTCACAGGGAAAGCAAATAGCCCCGTAGACAAAACCACAAAGGGACTGAAGGGGAAAACTGGATATTCAGTTAAATTATTGTGCCTCCTTTGAAAGAAATAGTAGTTTTCATTCCATCCTCTTTATATATTGAATTAAACACCTGAAATGTCCTTAGGACATTGGGGCTCAGATCTCTTTTTGTTTTGTGGGTGTCTGTGTCCTGCAGAGTGCAGAGGCTGAAATTGACAAAACTTTCTCTAAGTATCTTGTATATTTCATGGCAGCTATTCTAGTTGTCCTTCATTCACCCAGTCTTCCCCTACTAATAGCCACCCATTGGTGTGCCCCCTGCACACTTTTATGTGCCTGGGAGGGAGATTAAACAATCCTTGATATCTGACTTGCTAGATCTAAATCTACTCTTATTCCAGGTATGTTCTCAATGTATCTGTCCAGTATGGATGGATCTCTCAGAAAAGATAGCTCTTCAGTGTAGGAATCGGACCAACAGCCCCCCAGGAGCAAGATGCCATGAAGCAGCACACATTAAGCAGAAGTTCCTGAGGTGTTAGCTGCAAGGGTGCAGGGGGCACACCAATGGGTGGCTATTAGTAGGGGAAGACTGGGGTGACTTTCCCAAAGCCACATAGTGAGTCAGTAGTACAGCTGTGATTAGAACTCAGGGCTACCTACTTCTCAACCCTCTGCTCATTTCACCAGCTTACATTTCCCTTCTAGCACTTAGTTCTAGCACTTTCCTCAATGTAATTGTCCTCCATGACCCCACTGAAACATAGCATCTTTACCGCTGAGTGCTTTAGTGCTGAATCCAGAGACCAGATCCACTGACTGAAATTCCAATACTCTCTGCCCTCCCAGCCCCTTCCCCACTTTGTATGACACTTTTTGGCAGCTGAACGAAATGGTCCTGAAAAGGAAGTCAGTCAATGGGATTCAGCCATATAACCTGAAGCAACAGAACATGCTACAGCTGAGAAAGACACTGAGGGCTTGGGAAATGCTTATGATGCTGTATGCCGCGTAAACACTTGTAGACATAAACTGTCAATTCTGGAAACAGGTGCATGAAATACTCCGAGGGCTCCTTGATTATTTCCTTGACCCTGAAACAGAAGAACATCAATTGATTTTTAACTTGGGAAGCCCCTACCCTGCTAAAAAGTGTCAAAGGATCAGAACAAATGGTCAGGTTTCCCCATTTGTTTCCCTATACAGTGAAAGCCATTTCAACAGCTTTCTGAAAACAAGAGTAAATTTCCTAAAAATGATTAATATCCATTATCCCCCTGATCTAACACATTATGCCTTTGCTAATCTCTCCCACTATCCTTCTATTTCTCCATCCCACGGGACTAATCTCTTCATGGATGAGAGGCCATTTATCTCATTATTTTCAAAATCCTCATACAGACCAATCATCAAAGCACTTTAATAGGGCATGTCTTCACTGCAGATATAACATGGGTGACTGGAACCTGGCTTAACCTAGACAGGGTGTGAGCACTGCAGCCACATGGCAAAGCACACTTGTGTTACCGTGTTCTCACTGGTGTTGCACTCCCCTCTCTGTGTTACTAGGACTTCTGAAATCATATCCTCTTTGTGCTGCAATAAGCAGAGCTGCTCTATGATACTTCCCCAGTGCGTTGCAGGAGAACTTGTCTGTCCTTCTGGGCCCCCGTGGGAAAGTTTGGAGGACTATCAGCACAGCAGTAATTTAGCCTGACTCGGCAAAGTGGGCAGAGGAGCATGGGCTGAAAGCACCACTGAACTTGGGCAACAGAATTTCATCTGTGGGTGGGAGGAGGGGCTAATGGCAACACCTTAGTAAGAGCTTGAGTTAACCCTGCAGTGAAGACAGACCCATGTAGGAGGAGAGAATTATGATCCCTTAGCAGCAGGACCGATGCTTCGTAATTTATAGATAACGCACCTAAGTACTATAAAGATAAGTGCTTGAGAAATACTTAGGTAGATGAGTTTTTTAAATGTTGGATATAATAATGAAAAAAACTATAGTACAAGCAGCCCATCCTGGGGCTGTTTGTCATAGAAGGAAGCACCAGCATCCGGTGAAAACAGAAGGTCAGGCAACTGATATTCAGAGATGTCCTGCTGCAGCATCACACCATTACATTAGCCGAATCATCATCTATCCCACAGAGCTCTTCCATATTATGATTCTAGCATGTGTTTCTCCTGTTCCTAAAGCATGAGGATGTGGAAATAGTTACATTACCTCTCTGGAGATGCCTGGTAAACAACACAATGGAACAAGAGCTGCTGATCAATGTGTGACTACAGGGATGATTTGGAACCAAAAACTAGTTCAGAAGCATCTTGATCGTGTAAACTGCCTTTGGGTGGTGAGCCTGGGGTTATCTATTGTTAGTATTGGGACTTTCATAATATGATACACTGTATCCACATAACATTATTCTCTGCAACTACAGAGCACTGTGCTGCTGGAGAGCCTCTCTTTCATAACCTGGACACGCTTTAGTCTATAACATGCTGGAGTACCAGGAAACGGTCTTTTCCCCACACCCTGCATATTTTTACCCTTCTTGAATGGCAGCATGTCCTTCTGAAGAAAGGATTCCTGCTCTTACACCTACAGGGACTTGCAGCCTTTTACAGACAGACAAAGATTCCTAGGGACTGTTCATCCCTGGCACGGACTGTGAAGCAATCACTTACTTTTCTTCCTTCTCATCAAAGTGCTCGCCCATGTTCCTGATGAACTTCAGTAGGTCTGTGACATAGTTTTCATATTGTTTCTTCTTGTTCTGGTTCTGGTTCTTGTTCTTGTTCTTGTTGTTGAAGGGGTCGAGCATGCAGTCCAGAACCAATTTGTCAATCTGAAATAAAACACTCTGGATTATTCCATCCCATTCACACATCACAAAACAACAGCCTCCCCTGGCTGCAGTGGTCTCACTCTGCAGAAATATCATACACATGCATTTCTCATAGATGGAGCAATATTTTATAGCACTTATATTAAAATGTATGCTTAACAACATACAAAATTTCTATGGGTTTATCTTGTTTGATTCCCCTCTGGGTTCACCAGAGTGTGGATTTGTTAATCTTCACGACACAACACATCTCTTTCCCAAATGCCCTTCTCTTTGCACAGCCATTTGGGGAAAAGCAGGGCTGAGAGATAGACAGGCCTGATTATTATTATGGCTGTCATCATGATTTAGTGCTAGATCTTCCGGGGTGTCTGAGTTCTACTGGGTGAGAGGGACAAAGGTGGTTTTGTATCACCTTTCCACCCTCATAGTTGTGGCACTATTTGGAAAGGTCCATGTGGACTACAGTACTGTCCGAGGATCACCAGAGCTCAGAGTACCCTGGCCATCTGCATTTCCACTTCAAGAATGCTCCCTACACCATGCAGGCTAGGAACAGGTGTCACAGAGCTGATTACAACATTTTTATGACACCTGGATATTTCTATGTCCAAGGGGAATCCTCAGTTACTCCATTAGGGCAGCCCTCCATCCTGTGTACACCACGGAAGAGGTCTGAAGGGGACAGAACTTGGGCAGAGGATCTGGGTGGTACACTGTGTAGCTATGGTTTTTTACTGTGTTGAAAGTGTGAGGCACATGGGGCCTAGGATGGATGCCTATGTTAGTCTTTATACATTAATTCATTAAATAAGTGAAAGCTGTCTAGAGGTTTGTCTATATTAGAAAGTTTTGCCATTTTGACTATATTGGTATAATTAAAGCAGCAACCTACCCCCTGCTGTGGACAGTTATATCCATAGAAAAGTGCCTTGTATCAGTACAGCTTATTCTGGTTCTGGAAGCAAAATAGGCTGTACCTGTATAAGGCACCTTTATACTGATGTAACTGTGTCCACATTAGGGCTCATACCAGTACAAACACATCAGCTAAAATAACAGCCCTAGCCTACAGTTATTTACCCAGATAAAACTTTTAAGTGTAGACCAGGTCTAAGATTCTTCTGTACTGCACTCATTGCCATTGCAGTCAAGCACCTTCCAAGCTCAAATGCTTTTTAACAAGTTCCCTCTTTTCTCCTCCCTTTGCACACCCTCACTGCTGCAGTCCAACACAGGGAAAATTACTCTAACCACCTTCTCCCTTTAAAAGGCTGGTCACAACTTAAGCAGCAAGTCGCTAGGGTGATGTCTACAAACCACTCTCTGGAAGCTCCGTGTACACCACTCCAGCAGACAGCGACAGTAATTTTTAAATCTCTTAGATTTGTTTAGATTTTGCCCCCACATTGTCTGGATACGGATGGAGTTACACTTCCAGTTAAGGTTTAAAATGGGGCCTGTAAGTCCTGTAAGAAAACTTGCTCCTTGTGCATCCACAGCAAAAACAGCTTACCTGCTCAGTCCACTGCTGAAAAGGGTGCTCATCACAATTCAAAGCTTTCAGAATCTCACTCTTGTTGTTGTGATGTTTGGTGTTGCGACTTTTGATATCGCTTTCATTCCCAACATCTCTCAGGAACCTGTACCTGCTGTGGAATCAAAGGCACATTGGGGATGGCCTGCTCCACTGATTCTTGACAGAATGGGGCAGCCAGCAAATCTGCTGTTTGAGGGTTTGTAATTTTCATTCATGGCACTTACGTCTGCTTGCTCCAGAAAAAGGGATGTTGGATCAAGTCTCTCAGCAGGTTTTCAACTGGGATTCCTTCATCAGGGGAGACCAGACTTTTCCTTAGGTCTACAGTCTCCTCGTAGTCCTGCACATCCTCTGGACAACTTGCATCCAGAACGTCTCTATCATTTTCCTCAAAGGGGACCTTACCCAGTGTAACAACATACAGGACCAGCCTTCTGAGCGCCTGAGCATGAGAACAAATGGCTGTTTCAGCCCAGGGCAAACAACTTCCCATCAAAAAGAAACAGAGACAGACAAACTATCTTCTAAAATCAGCACACTGATTGTAAAATCAGTACACTGTGTGTACACTTGTGTGTATGTATATGGCAGCAATCATGTCATGAAGTGTTTGTATTAGAGAGCCCACCACACTGACAGCATAGAGCAAAATCAGGGAGAGACTTCCAGGGTTTGGAGAAAATCTTCATTCCTAATCACTGTCACTTCCTTGTACTGTGGTCTCTTGTGCTATGGGAATTTCCAGAAACCACGCTGTTATACATTTCCCTCTGAATATGCAGGAAGATCAGCTGATTCACCCCAAGAAAGCAAAGAAAATAAATGAACAGAAAGAAGTGAGCAAAAGAGAGAAAAGGTGTGAGGGGTAATCTGAAACATAATTTTGGTTTAATGGAAAGTTACCTTCAGGTCTTTGATTATAACATCCTTCTGTCCTTCACTCAATCTTTTGCTCTTATCAAAATCCGCTAAGAGAACTTTACCAGCAGCATCTGACAAAATAACAGGAACAGTTAATCTGTTGTCTGTCTTTATGTGTGTGTTGCGCTCCTTTTCTCTAGTACCTGGTTGAATTATTCGCATGACCCCAGAATTCTTTGGTAGATTATTCAGTTGGATGACCTGATCTCTCAGTAGGAGGGCAAAACTAATGTGATACTTATGGCTGCTATACTACATGAGCACGAATGCACACACACCCTCTCTGCGCAAAAAGATCTCTACACTGCTGACGTATACGGTCAGCTCTATAATGCCTCACTTTCTCAACTATGGGCAATAGGAGAATAGAGTAAGAATGATAAGAACACACAAGCTAACCTATCAAAATGTTACGTGGGTGTAGATCCTGATGGCCAAATCCAAATATGTGTAGTTCTTGAACTGCCTCAAAGAGTGTCTTAAGAACACTCTTGCAATTCACTTCATTCTCTGATGCACTCAGGTGTTCTTCAAGGTTCTTCTCACAGAGCGAGAGGCACAAGTACAGGCAGGGTTTCTTTTCCTCAGCACCAAAAAGCTTTACTAAATGCTTGCTGGTCAGACATTGTTCAAGGCACATTTTCTCTTGTTTAGCAATTTCTGTGCCAATGCAGAATATCTTCACAGCCACCTCCTTCCCATCAAAGAGTCCCAGGTAGATGCCCCCTTGGGAGGTTCTCTGAATCCTGAAATCATTATGTTGGAGGATTTTAAGTTTTCCAATCATAGGACGATACATGTTGTAGAGAACCTTCAGCTGCTCTCCCCAGCGTTTGCTGGTGGGTTCCCAATCTTGAGGTTGACTTGGACCAGCCTTGGCGCCATACTGGCGAAGAAGAACTGCCATTTTCTTATTGTATTTCCTATTGACAATCCCAATAAGGTCCCCAAGGTCAGTCCTTGCCCCTTTTTCACACAGTAGCTTTGCTATTTCATAATAGTTTTTCTCTACAGCTATCACCAGGGCTGTTTTGCCCTCTCTGTCAGCATCATTGATGTCAACTTCATTCTTCTCCAATAAAGCTTTCACCAAATCCAGACTTTGTATCTCAACTGCCAGCATGAGGGTAGTTTTCCCATGCTCATCTCTTCTGTTCACATCAACACCACAATCCAGCAGGAAATGAACAACTGGAGCAATAGACTCCCTTGTTTTGTTATCACTTGAAAGGAAGGCATGGATTAAAGCATTCCTGCCCTGGTTGTCACAGATGTTCATGTCAGCCTTCATCTCACTGACAAGAATTTTTACGACTGAGAGGTGGCCCTTCGTGGCAGCATCCATCAGGGCTGTTGCCCCACCTTTATTCAGTGTTCTTTTCTCCTCGTTAACCACCCTCCGCAAATTCACATCTGCCCCATTATTGTACAAGAATCTTAAGGCCTCCTCATTCCCATAGTGAGCAGCCTCCATAAAGGCTGTGAAACCATTGTCATCATACTCATTGATTTCTGATCCCTTAGAAAGGAAGAGCTGTAAAAGTCTCACATTTCCCACTATCCCTGCTACAAGAAAGGGAGTGGCACCGTTTTTCTTCCTAGCACATGGATCAGCACCCTTCTCCAGCAGAAGATCAACAATCTCTTCCTGATCAACCTGTACAGCGCTGTGCAGAGGTGTCCAACCACCTCCTACCTTGAAATTAACATCTGCTCCTTCCGCCAACAGCTCCCGGACTTTCTCTATTGAACAGTTTCGGACAGCATCGTTTAGCAGAGAGGCTTTGTCTGCTGCTGTTTCATTTCCGGAGGTCAATACCTCTTCCTGGCTGTTACCAGTGGCCTCCATCACTGTTAAGATAAGTGGCTGTGCTCTTGTTCCGTGTCCGTTTCAGACGGAGATTCTTCAGTAAAATACTTCCTGGGCTCTCCTTTAAGATGGAAGGCATGGATTGGTCAGTGCCTTTGTTGTCAGGACATGAATGGAGTTTTGCTGATGAAGTGCACCAAGTGTAGTTGAAGTGTACCCAGCTCCAAGGGCTCTATGCTTCACATATTCCACCTGATTAGCAAAGAGAGAAAACAAACCTGTTTACTGATTCTTAAGACTTTACAGTTGTGCTTGACAGGTGAAGTTAAGGCTACATTTTAGTCACGGGTATTTTTAGTAAAAGTCATGGACAGGCCATGGGCAGTAAACAAAAATTCATGGCTTGTGACCTGTCCATGACTTGTACTATACCCCTGACTAAATCTTGGGAGTGCTGCGGGTGCTCGTGGTGGGGCTGGGGCTGCTCATGGGGGGAGGAAGGGGGTAGCCTGGGGGACTGTGGTCTAAGACTGCCCCAGCAGCAGCTGGTGCGACAGGCCCAGGGGCTGCCTGAGCTGCTTGGGCAGCCCCGGAGCCAGCCGCACCAGCCACTCCAGAAGTCATAGAAAGTCACGGAGCCATGACTTCCATGACAAACTCACAGCTTTAGCGACAGTCTATGGATCAGTAAGAGACAGGACAGTGAAGATTACACCACATGGTTTTCAGAGCCATGAGTGAGTGAGAGAGAGAGTGTGTGTGTGTGAAGGGGGATTATAACAGATGTTCTCTGGGTCCACATGCAACAGCCCCTGCTAATTTGGTTCTGAGTTTCTTATCAATACAGATTGACAATCATAATGAATTGGTAGGGGTGGAAAGAGTAGTTTGTACCTTTAGGCACACACCCGGTACTCTTGGGTGTTCTTGTCAATGGGGAGAAGACACCCCAAGAAGGGTGTTTGTCATTAGATGTTGAGGGTACTTGGGTTATATAAATATGGCTCTTTGTATTCTTCAGTTCTGAAGCTGCTTGTGTTCCTACAGAATTACTCTCTGTACAGAAGAGTGCAGGAGATTCCAATCTTAAATTTTCAAAACATAAGATTCTAGTCATCATGACTCTGAAGATAACCTTTCAAATATGATCTGAATAGAAGCTGATCTTAATTGGATGGTGCCTCTGGAATGTAATGAGGAAATTTAACTATTCACCCCCAGTAAGTGTATTAGAAAGATCCAGCTATGGTGCTTCTCTGTAACTTTTACATTCTCCAGATGCTGCTGCAGAATTTTCAGTTCACTCCAGAAGTTCGCACTATAGTGCCACAGAAACCATAGGTCTTGCTGTGAAATTTAGGTTAAACTTGCTGCAAAATACACATGGCCTTCATTATATGCACCAAATACCTGATGCTTCCTGTTCTTTGTTGAAGAATATAAGTATACACATATCTATTACACCATTCAGTTTTGGACAGGTGGCTATGCCCTTAGCCCAGTGAAGAGACCAGTCAGAAAGCAGTATTAGATAAAAAGTCCCACCTTACCTCTGCCCCCTTTCTGCCCAGTGAGAAGCCCGTATTTGTCCATTAGACTTTCTTGACCCTTCCATCATTTTCTGGGGTCAATCAGGAAGGAATTCAGGGTCTGGAGGCACACCTATCACTGACAGGCAACTGTCAGAAAGTCTTTAAGAATAGTGGGCACATTTAAGACTGTTTGTCCCCCGAGATATAAAATGGGCCATTCGTTTAAAATTTAGGCGTATCATAATCAAAATGCAAGTAAGGGTTTACAGCATTATATGCGAGGATGGAAAAATGGTACAATATGAAATTAAAAAGGTGTCTAATGAATACTCTTCAGAATCAAAGGGTATATTATTCAGTTAAGGTTTGTTGTTGTTCTGTCTTATGAAGGAAAAGAAACCGAATAACAAAAGTAATAACCTCTTTTCCCCTTTAAAGAGAAGTTATAACGGTTACAGAACAATAAAATTCAGCCTAACTGTCAAAGGTGACAGTTGTTAAACATTTTTACCAAGGACTAGCTCCTTCTGGGCTTGTTCGTGGATCTGACAGAAAAGAATGATTTCAAAGGGAAACTGGCAGAAAAGCTGCAAAGTCTTAATTACAGGAAAAGTTTAATTCACATAAGCTTGATTGTCTTCTGAGAAAACCAAATGAATCGAATCACGTATCACAGTTTTTGTTTAAAAAAGTTTTTTAAATGTATAATTAAGTTGCTTACATATGTTTGAGTTGCTTCACAGTATTCATTTTCTACATCTTTTGAGACATACTGTAAAAATAAAAGGCTCTTCTCCGAGCCACCAAAAAAAGCTACAGCCTTGTTAGAGGAACTATTACCAAGAGTCTTATCATATAAAAGGGGGAAAAACAAGAGAGTCTTGAGAAAGGGTAGAACAAAGATTCAGAAGTTTCCTTATTGAGCACCGCCCCAGTCCTACTGACAACATGCTTCTATTCTGCCCTCTTTTCCTGATTCATGTCATAGAGGGCAGGTGTTTGTGGGAGTTAGCGAACATGCTGCTTTTTCAGGCGGTGCTGCCACTCTCTCTCAGAATGAGGGAAAGGGTTACTACATATCTTAGGGGAAAAAAACAACGAGGAGTCCTTGTGGCACCTTAGAGACTAACAAATGTATTGGGGCATAAGCTTTCATGGGCTAAAACCCACTTCATCAGATGCATGGAGTGAAAAATACAGTAAACAGTATATATTATAGCACATGAAAATATATACCATTGTAACCATTCAAGTTATGTATATGTCAGGCTTATTGTTGGTTTTGAAAAATATTTAATGGAAAAATTGCTCACAGCACTAGGTTTTTGACATAAATTGTAAAAAGAGGCTCAAACTAAGTGATCAATAATGTCAACTTAAACAGCAGGTATAGCTAAACTTGCATTTTGTTTCCCCACACATTACCGTAGTCTTTTTTTTGCCCACACAATCCCACCCGCAACAAAGTACATCTCTACCCTGATATAACAGTCCTCAGGGACCAAAAAAATCTTACTGTCTTATAGGTGAGACTGCGTTATATCGGGGTAGAGGTTGGGATTGTGTGGGCAAAAAAAACCAAAAGACTACGGTAATTCGTGTTACCGCAAGTGGTTCCTCTGCGCCCCACCTTTACTTGCTGAGGCCCCCCCCACCCCAGCTCGCCTCCGCCTCCTCCCACGAGCATGCCGCAGCTCCGCTTCTCCTCCCTCCCAGGCTCGCTGATTGGTGCGGCAAGCCTGGGAGGGGGGAGAAGCAGACCTGCAGTGCACTCGCGGGAGGAGGTGGAGCGGAGGTGAGCTGGGGCGGGGGGGCCGCAGCAAGTAAGGGGGCGGGCTCAGAGGAACCGCTCCCCACCGCAGCTCACCTCTGTCTCCTCCCCTGAGTGTGCCGCTGCCACTCCGCTTCCCCCCCAACCCCTTCCAGGCTTGCCGCCGCCAATCAGTTGTCTGGTGCGGAAAGCCTGGACGGGGTTGGGGGGAAAGCGGAGTGGTGGTGGTGTGCTCAGAGGAGGAGACAGAGGTGAGCTGGGGCGGGGAGTGGTTACTCTGCACCCGCCCCCTTACTTGCTGCGCCCCCCCCCGCCCCAGCTCACCTCCGCTCCGCCTCCTCCCGCGAGTGCGCTGCAGGTCTGCTTCTCCCCCCTCCCAGGCTTGCCGCACCAATCAGTGAGTCTGGGAGGGAGGAGAAGCAGAGCTGCGGTACGCTCGTGGGAGGAGGCAGAGGAGAACTGGGGTGAGGGGGCTTCAGCAAGTAAAGGGGGGGGCGCAGAGGAACCACTTGCGGTAACACGAATTTGGATATAACAAAGTAAAGCAGCCCCACTCCCTGGAGTGCTGCTTTACCACGTACTATCCAAATTCGCGTTATATCGCACCACATTATATCGGGGTATAGGAGTACATTTTACTCACTCCCACTTTATGGCAGTGGGTTCTGCAGGACCCCATTCTCACTGCAGGGCTCTACCTTGGTCCCTATTTATCCTTCTTGATGCTGACGCTGATGATGAGGATTCTCTGTGTTAATTCCAGTACCACCTGCAGTGTACAAGGCCCTTTAGATCAGAACATGGAGAGGACGTGGTCTCTGTCCAACCAAGATGTGCTTAGAGCAGAGCCACAGGGGAGAGGTACAAACGTCTTACCTCACTTCTCTGATCCCCTGATCCGTAGGAATGTGCCTGACATAAGTCAGAGCAGCCTCAGTGGTACTCTGACTCGCAGCTGCCTCCTGTAGACAGCTGCATATCACTTGGGCACAGCATTCTCCCAGCACACTGTGTATGCCAAAAGCTGTGAGCGAGGCTGGCGTACAAAGCGATATCACGAGTAAGACTAAGCTGTTGAAGTTGTGAAGGCTACAAGCCCTGCTGCCAACTCTGACATCCTACTGCACTTCACACAGTTGCTCTCAGTCCCCCTTAGGTCCTTTCCCTTTGTATTTCCGTGAGCAAAACACAATGGGCACAACACCGTCCCAAGCAGCTGCTGTCATTAGCAGCAAGGAAGCAAAACTAGTAACTCACCCCAGCACCCTTTCTCCTGAGGATGGAGGTACTTGCTGCCCAGCATCTCCACAGCCCCGACCTGCCTCCCTGTCTGCTGTGTCCCTGCACGCTGAACCCATATGCCAAGCACTCACCTTGTTACTACATCAGAGATCTGCAATTAGCAACCAGAGTTCCAGACAAACAGCTCAGCTCAACTGGGCAAAGAAGGGGTGAGGAATAGAGGGCTGGGCATGGGAGAGAGGAAGAGAGACAGTAAGAAGTGGATAAAATGAAAGTGTAAATGAGGGGAATGAGAAACAGCATGAACAGGAATGGGTTTGGGGGAGGACCACAACTGCAGGGGGAGGTCGATGGGAGACGGTAAATGTGAACATAAGGACTTTTCTATGATATTTTTCCTACGACACGTAACAGATAATTCTAATGGACTATTTACATGTTTCTACACCTAGAGGCAATTTTCTTCCGGCACCAGATACACACTAAATCCAGATTTCAAGTCGTTGTGTCGGATGGTTTTGTGGGGATAGAAAGGCATGGATTCCTTCCTGAAGACAAGGAGCTGCAATGGGGCCTCTCCATACTAGTTACTGCAGCCTCAGGTCTCTAGTAGTATCTGCGACACTTTGCACCCTTTTCCCTGGCGGGGAATGGCCTGTGGATCTGCTCCTATCCCTCTGCAAGCTGGGGCTCAGGAGCTGGGCCTC